CCTGAGTTCAATTCCCAGCAACCACATGGTGGCTCACAACCTTCTGTAATGGGATTCGATGCCCTCTTCTGGTGTGTCTGAAGACAGTGACAGTGTACATAAGATAAATATATCTTTAAAAAAGTAAAGACAAACAGAAAAATAGCAAAGCCTCCTTCTGTCAATGTCCTTCGATGTGGGCTGCCACCAGAAGGTGTAGCCCAGATTTAGGATGGGTCTTCCCACCTCAAATAATTCAGTTAAAAAAATCCTTTGCATGTGTGTCCAGCCCCCTGGGTTTTTTAGAATATTCCAGATGTAGTCAAGTTGACAACCAAGGTTAGCTATCCCAGTGGTTTTGGTAACAGGATAATGCTGGCTTTGAATGAGTTTGGTACTGTTCCTCTTGGTTGTGTCTTGTGGAGGAGTTTGAGAAATGATGGCATTAGACCTTTCTTAAAAGTTTAGTAGCAGAAGTTGGTCATGATGATGGATACCTTTAGCATTCGGGAGTCAGAGGCAGGAGGATTTCAGGGAGTTCAAGACCATCCTGATTTTATAGTGAGTTCTAGGACATTCAAGGCTATATAGAGACTCTGTTCTAAAACCAACCCAAAAAAATAGTAGTTTTTAGCAGTGAATACCATCCAGTCCCAGACCTTTCTTTTTGAAGACTTTTAAAAACAGATCTATTTTATTTTTGACCATGTGTGTATATTTGTATATGTGTACACGCAGGTACCCATGGCATCCAGAAGTGGGCAACAGATCCCCTGAAGCTGTAGTTACAAGTGGATGAGGGGACTGAGAACCCAACAAGGGGACTGAGAACTAAGTTCCTCTGCAAAAGCAGTGTGCTCTCTGAACCTCTGAGCCATCCCTCCAGCCCTGTGAGCGGACTTATAATCACTACTTCAGTCTCACTGTTGTGAGTTTAAGTTGTTTATATCTTCTGGGTTTAGTTTTGGTAGGTTATATACACCGAGAACTTTGTTCATTCCTTCTGTGGTTCTCAGCTTTTTTGGAGTAGAAGTTCTCCCTAAGGATCTTGAGTTTCACTGGAGTCTGTTGTAACAATTCCCTTTTTACCCCTAAGTTTATTAATTTGGGTCTTTTATCTCTTTCTTTTGGCTACTTTGGTTGTCAGTCTTAACTTTTTCAAAGAACTAACTCTTGGATTGATTTTTGTGGAATACATTGTTTTATATTTTAATCAGTAAAACTTAAACACACAGAGACCACCTTTCCCTCCTAGGTCCCTTATGGTTCACTGTAACAGTGTTACCTGGTTGCGCATAGTAGGATGTGTGAACGGGATTGGGCTGTGTTTACTGCAAGTATTGAGAGGTTCCTATGTGGCTCTAATTCAGTGATTATCTGACTGAAAGACCCAGAAAGGTTTTTATTTTTCTTTATTCTGCACAAACTAGGAATGATTAAGTTTTACCTTTCTTTTTTTAAAAAAATATTTCATGCAAATGAGTGTTGGCCTGATTATTATGTCTGTACACCACAGTTGTGAGCATCATGTGGGTGCTGGGGATTGAACCCAGGACCTCTAGAAAAGCAGCCAGTACTCCTAACTACTGAGACATCTCTCTAGCTCCCAAGTTGTACCTTTCTGAAGATACTGCCTTTACTTTCCATCTGTGGTGCTTAATCTCAATAATCAATGTGATAAGATTGAAAATCACCTGGAAGATGGACTCAAGGCATGCCTGTGGGGGTATAAGTAGGTAAATAGAGGTGGGAAGTCCTGCCCATTGTGGGCTCCACCATTCCCTAGGCTGGAATCCTGTACTATTGAATGGAGAAAGTGAGATGATCATAAACATTCACTCCCTTCTGCTCCTTGACTGTGGCTACAATGTAACAGCCACCTCAAACTCAAGATGCCCCCTCAAAATCTTGTTTCTATGACTTTTGCACTGTGGTGGATTACAACCTGGAGCTATGAACCAAAATAACTACTTTCTCCCTCAAGTTGCTTTTGTTGGGGTATTTCATTAGAGCAACAAGAAAAGCAACAAATGCAGCAGCCAGATGTAGTATTAGAGAACCTACATTACTCCTAGTTGAGAAATGTACTATTAGGGATTCCTGTACCAACTGACTGATATTAGAGTTACACACTTAGGAGTCACCCCAGAGTGGAAAAGCACAGTGTTGATTGAAACTTCAACTATAAAAATCACTTTTACTGTGACTTTATTTCTTGTAATTTGATTTTGTGAAGAAAACAAGAAACCAGTTGCCCGGTCTGGAGCTCTAAAATCTGGGAAATGGGGCTGTCAATTTTCTTTGTGGTTTGGGTGAAATCCAAGGATGATTTCCAGAGATGAAATCCGGGAAAAGTCAGCACTCTAGCCTACCCAGCTAGGCCCTCTACACAGACCGGGTCCAATGCTGTTTGGCTCAGATGATGAGCGCCACCTGCAGGCAGAATGCTGGAAATTGGAGAAAGATACCTGGATACTGTTCAGCATTATTTAAAAATCAGGAATAAAAAAAGCCCAGCAAATTTTCGTCGGTGCATCTCTGATTTTCTTTGTACTGATTCAGTTCTTTGGTATTAAGTAACAATATTCAAGTTCTGTCTTTCTCCAAAGAATCTTTGACCTTGACAGACCTTGAGATAGATTTCAAATCTTTCTTCCACTCACATCTGACAAACTTTAATGCAACCTCAGGGACATAGTATTACAAAGTATACAAGCAAAATAAGCACTTAGTGATGATAAATCATAAAGAAAATCCTTCTAAGAGGATTCTTGAGTTCACATATGCTTTTTCCATTTACTGTGAATGGAAGCAAATTTGCACATTGTAACAAATGTGTTTCTTTTTATAGAAAGAACTAAATCATGGCTCAATATTTGCTACTGCAGGACATGAAGCCTTTTCAACTTTTTTCAGAATATTTTTATTTTAAAATTGTTAATGCTGAGAACCCTACTTTGAATTAAATACACGCTATAAAGTGGCAGAAGCGTGTTTAGGACCATTGGAATGGAAATTCTGTCTTAATCACAAGCAAAATTTATTGAAAGAAATTTAATTTTATTTATTTTTATTTTAAGTGTATGGGTATTTTGCCTGCATGTATGTCTGTGCGTCATGTGTGCGAAGTGCTCACAGAAGCCGGAAGTTTGTACTGGATTTCTTGGAACTGGAGTTACAGGTGGTTGTGAGCTGCTATGCAGGTGCTGAGAATCAAACCTGGGTCCTCTGGAAGAGTAGCCAGTTCTCTTAATTGCTAAGCCAGTTCTCCAGCCTCTGAAGTAACAATTACTAAGACACCAGACAACACCAGTAAACACATGTGTGCTCAGCACACGGCTTCAGTGATACCAGGAGACAGCACCTGTAATCAATGGAGTGTTACACAGTTGATTTTGATTTAATTTTTGGTCATTGTGCCTTCAGAAGCCTTTCAGTGTTACCATGATTTTTCTCAAGTCTCACACTGAGTTGTGCGACCCGTCAGAATTGCAATGTTCAGAGAAATGAGATCCATTTGTTAAAAAACAAAAAAACCAAAACACTTCGATTTTACCCTCACCCCCAACCTCCGTTCACAACCTTTGTTCACAATGCCTTCCTGCTGGCGCCAGGGACGTCCTTGCTGTTATCACCAATATCTTTCACATCCCTTCTTTTTACCAACATCTGCCCATACCTAGGACTTTCTTATTTTCAAAAGTGTTTAACTCCAAGAAACAAAACAACTTTCTGTGCCCAGAATCCCAATCCCTCAACTGCCGCCTGACTCCCACGTCTTACTATTCAGTCTACCTTCTGGAAAGATCTGGGTGTTTTTGCTGCCTCTGCTTCCTTCCTTTTTTCAGACCTCGGTCTTCTTCAGACTCCACCCTTCCCTGTTCTCTATCAGATGGTGCTACCAGGGCATCCCAGAGGGCCACCATACCCTAGCCCTGGAACGGCAAAGCCTCCCTTTAATGTGTGTCCCAAATATTCGCTCATCACACGTTGAGGATACACAGATTTCCAGCCTCTTCTCATCCCTGTCACAGCCCGCACACCTCACTCCTGTACTACTATTGAGCCTCTTGCTCGGACCACTCCTGCATGAACTTTTCATATCCTTCGGCCAATCTTACCTCCAGTGGCAGCTTAGAGTTCTTCCGGGCAGCGGGAAGGGTCGGAGCCCAAAGAGCCCTCTACCAGAGCCAGAGCCCTCTCTGTAGCACCCAGGTCAGCTTGGCTTTTGTTACTCTTGTCGAACTCAGCCACTATGCAACAGCCTAAGTGATTTTGTGCAGTGAACAACCACCCAGAGCCCCGCCATCTAAGGTCATTTCTCAACAGTCCTTAGGCTCTCGGGTGCCATGCCCCTTGCCCATAAGTGCTTCCCGACCTTTCCTTAGTCGAGCTGGGAGCCCCTGCTTCGTTGCTCCAACAACATCTGCGTATTTCTCCCCAGAGCCGTCTATACCTGTGTCCCTCCGTTGAACACCCGGAAAGCATGGACGCCTAGCACACAGTCCTCAAAACTGCGAGTTTGTAAACACAAAGTGTGCACAGATGAGAAAACAGAATTCAGAAGCAGGAAAGGCATGTCAAATCCCCCTGGGTGGTCCCCAAGTGAGCAGGGAACATCCAGAGAGGATCATTTCGCGAGCCCTTTCCTTCTTCTATACAGTGCGGGTTTCGGGGATGCAGAACTCTGGTAGTGATGGAGCAAGCTCAGCTGTAGCTCTGGGGGAGTGCGTGGCCTGAAGGCTAGAGCCCGGATGTGTGTGTGGGGGGGACCGTCAGCTCCCTGGGATTGAACTGCTAATATTGAGGGCAGGAGAACAAAGTGGGGGGACTGGGTGTGCCCCAGGCCCAGTGTGCGCGTGTGTATGTGTGTGTATTGTTGCACTATTCCAATCCCAGGACAGCGAGGTGAAGATAGAAACTAAGGGCGGGGAGGGATTTCCAGGAAATGAAAGCGAAAGAAGTTAACTCAATGTTAAAACTCTGAGCAGTTTTGAGCGACCCAGCAGTCGCCGCTTCCTAGTTCAGTCAGGATGGCAGCGTCGGGTTCCTTCCCGCTGCTGGTCGAGGGCTCTTGGGGCCCCGAACCCCCGAAGAACTTGATCAACAAGTTGCAAATGTACTTTCAGAGTCGGAAGAAATCGGGAGGAGGGGAGTGCGAAGTCGTCCCGGAGCCGGGGAACCCAGCACGCTTCCGGGTGCTTTTCTTCCCGGAGGATGGTGAGGGGCACGAAAGTCTGGGAGGGTCGCCCTGCGCGGGGTTCGGGGCCACGGGTGGCAGGCTCAGCACTCCGCTGCAGCCCAGTCGGAGCGGGAGATGTGGGGGCAGAATCTGGGTGGCGAGCGCAACTCGGAGTGGCGTTCCCCTAGTTTTTCCAGTCGCTCCCTGGAGCTATCTGTGAACCTGTGTTGTTTGTTTGTTGTTTTAACTGTCCAGTTTTTATTCAGGTGGTGCAGGAAAAGAACTAAGAAACGAGAGGAGTCCAAAGAACCGCAGGGTTCTTTGGGAGCGGAGCTTGAGAAGGGAAAAGCCCGGGAGCGCTTTGTCCCACAGTAGGGGGTGGGGTGGGGGACGAGGGGTGGGGTCTTGTTTCTACCTCGTCCTTCAGCCTCAAGATGGCGTGAGGTGGCTGTAAGCTTTGAACGCAGGTTGGGTTGGGGTGTTTCCTTATCTCCGGAAGGCCCCTGAACAGTTATGCAGTTGAATGTTCCCCGCCTCTGTCTGCCTTCTGCAAAGGAGGCCCAGCCTTGCTAGCTTGCTCAGGTGGGTGAGTGGACGTCCCAGACCTGTGGCTTCTGGAAAGCCACCATTTGTTAACATCTGAGATTTTGCAGACCAGCGTCATCTTCAGAATGCAGACAGTTCCTCCTTCTTGTCCTTGCATTTGTAGGAAACCTTTGGGCTAGAGGAGAGGCAAGAATGTTGAGGAGGTCAGGCAGTGGGCAAGGTGATGGCCAAGCAGAGACCCAAGAAGGAAAATAAATGAAAGCAAGAGAAAGGTGTAACACGGGGTTTCAGTAAGCCTGGGTAGGAGGGCACAAGAGACCTGCGTGGCTCTGATCTCCCCCAGAAAACACAAGTTTGATTTCACAAGGGAGCACTCAGTGGGCAGCTGGTAGAAGAATCTCATTTTCACTTTTCCCTAGACCAGTGCTTCTCAACCTGCCTAATGCTGGGGTTCTTTAACACAGTTCCTCAGGTTGCAGTCACCCCAACCACAAAACTATTATCTATTATCTATTATTATTATTATTTTGGTTTTTTCGAGACAGGGTTTCTCTGTGTAGCCCTGGCTGTCCTGGAACTCACTCTGTAGACCAGGCTGGCCTCCAAGTCAGAAATCTGCCTGCCTCTGCCTCCCAAGTGCTGGGATTAAAGGCGTGCGCCACCACTGCCCGGCTATAAAATTATTTTTGTTGCTACTTCATAACTGTAATTTTGCTTACTATGGTGAACCACAATATAATCCCTATGAAAAGGTCATTAGATCCTAAAGGGTCGAGACCCACAGGTTGAGAACCATTGTAGAGGGCTCCCAGGTTGATTCCAGCTGTCAATATACCAATAGACATGACCTGTATGAAGACCATTTTTCTCTAGACTGCCACTATCCTCAAATGTTGGCCACACGTTAGGGGTTGGAGTAACTAGACCTCTCCAGCTGTATTCTAGGCACTGTAATACAGTGAGTGACGGCTGAGTAGGGATCATGTACTGCCAGCCCTCTGAAGTGACCTGGACAAGCTAAACATTAAAAAAAAAAAAAACTCTGTTGTTTATTGAGAACCCCAAACCAACAAAACAGAGAGGAAATCTAAGATATTGGTAGAATACTGAAATACGCAGCACAGAAAAATAACTGTTGTGATAATACAATTCCAGTTTTAGCCTTTACAGCAGACCCCTGGGCTGGTCCGGTGACTCAGCCCTGAAAGGCTGGGCTCACAACAAAATTCACCCAAAGCAGATCTCTGCTGAGCTTTCTCCCCACGGGGCTCCGAGCCCCCAGCCCCCCCCCCCCCACTTCTTCCAGGCTGCTCCAGGTCATTCCTCTGGTTTCACTCCCAGCACAGATGACTCAAAATCTATTAAAGTTTAACCCTGTTGAGTGGCAGTCTTTAGGATGACTAGAATCTCTCTTCACTTTCGGTTTCCTATCTGAGGCACTGTTTCCTCAGTTTCAATTCATCTGGAATTTCCCCATAACAGACTTAAGGGCAGCAGTGTTTCTTTCCTGTAGAGAGCACCACCCTCTGGCCCAGAAGTAGCCTGAGCAAGCTTAACTATTCACATATATCTATAATAACGGGGTAGTACTATCGAGCCTCCCAGCATCCCCTCCCCAGTAGAAATTAGCATATGGAGGTAGGAATCAGAAGATCTAATCTTTGTAGGCTAATTGGATTTGTGTACTATAGAGTACGTATGGACTTACTGTGTTTTTCCCCCTTAGGACTTTGAGCCTGCCAGGTAGTTGCTCAATGAATGAGCTACCGTCCCAAACCCTAGCTCAAAACAATGTAAACCCCATTTCAGATGGACACACTTTATCATACTTTCTAGTCTCAATTTGTTTATTGTGCAAGGCCTAGGTATCCTTGACGTGAGGAAACTCATCTTCTTATAGACAAACAAACAAACAAACAATGTCTTCCTGGGTATTGATAACTTATGCCTTTAATCCCAGCACTTGGGAGGTAAAGGAGGCAGATCTCGAGGGCCGTGTTCGAGGCAAGCCTGGTTCTACAGAGTGATTTCCAGGAAAACCAGCAATGCACAGAGAAACACTGCCTCAAACACACACACACACACACACACACATACAAGCAACAAAGAAGATTTATTTTTATTGTATATGTATGAGTGTTTGCCTGCATATGTCTGTATACCACTCGCATACAGTGCTTGCAGAGGCCAGAAGAGGGCGTCAGATCCCCTGGAACTAGAGTTACAGACTGTTTAGGTCAGTTATATGGATGCTAGTAACCAAATCTGGGTTGTCTAAAAGAGCAGCTAGCACTCTTAACCACGAAGCCATCTCTCCAACCCTAACCCACCATTTTCTTAAGTAAAATTGAACATAGATGACCTGAGGTGGGCACGAGGGGGAAGAGGTTAGACACCAGAATTGTGCCTCCTCCTCCCAGATACGCCTTGATGGGGATCTCGTACTGTTGTTGCCGCCACTGCTTTCTGAGGGTACTCATGCCCATACACATTGCACACAATCTACGAAGGGGTGGGCATGTCTGGATGTCTCAGATGGACTTTACCAAAGTCCAGGGTAGAAGAAAAGGAGCGAAACACATAGGCATGTGATATTAGGTCACCGGCTTCCATTTAGGTCACATAGTCCTCAGTCCTCTCGATAGCCCAGTACTGCTTCTCTGGAAACTCCTGTCTACTCACAGAATACAGTTAGAGCCAGATGTTCCTTCCTAGATGGGTTATAACCCCTGTATCTGGGGGGTGGGGCGTCTAAGTGAGGCCCCCTTTGGCCTGCCCTCTTCATAGCTGAGGCAGGAGAGCTGTCACACGTCCCTTTATGATAGGCTCTAAGCTTATTAGAGCAGCCCACCAGAGCTGAACAGGAACCCAACATTTGGTTGCAGCTGTGAATAGCGGCTCTCCCTACCTCTCTTCTAGACCTGTTTGTACTATCTTCCATGCTGGCCACGCCCCTCCTGTTCCTTTCCGGCTCTCCTTGGTCTGAGCTGATTTTCCTCTTTGCTCTCTGGCCGCTGCTTCTGATGCTTGCTGTTTATGTTTTCATAGCTCTTCATGTCACTGACAGCATTCCCCAAGAGTACATTAAATGGTGAGACCTCTGCTCCAGAGGCGTTAATTTCTCTACAGCCACCCTGGTAGTTTATGACAGAGTTGGAGATCAAATGGCAAGGCATTGGACTCGACTCAGTTTTCACTGTAGTTCAGCTGTCCGGTGCTCTAATTTGTTTTTTTGCAAATCTCCTCTATTCTATTTTTTCTTCTCCCTTTACTACCAAAAATGGGTTCTTTAACATTGTAAACTAAGGTGTTGGTTAAAATGGCTGGACTCCTGGTCATTCTGATAATGGCCATCGGGGCCACTTTCCTAAAACATGGCTTTCATATGTCCAGTCGTCCTTATAATTGTAGATATTTCTACCTTCAGTGCCTACCCAGTATAGGACAGGTACTGTGCTACTAAACTCTTTCTATTTCTTCAATGTAATACACTTAGCACACAGGCTCAAGACAATCCCTATTAACCTCATTAGTCGCTAAGAAGACTGAGGCTTTCTAAATAAGATTTGTTTATCAGGATGCTTAGGGTGTTCACCAGAGTTCTGTTATTGTGACAATGTATCTGATATAATCAGCTTGAATAGAGGAAGTGTTTATCTGGGCTCTACTATTCTGGAGTTTTTAGTTTACTGTTTGCCTGCTGCTTTTGGGCCAGTGGGACAAGGCAGTACACCCTGTGGAGAACTTTTGGCTATGAAGTGATAAAGGCAGAAAGGGCAGGGGGTCCCAGGATCACTCTTGCCCCTTCCTCCCCCAGAACTGTGGGAGTTGTGAATTGGTTCCCAGTGACCTCACCTCCTTCCCTTAGGCTCCACCCCTTAAAGCTTCTGAGACTGTCAGCACTATGAACTGGAAAATTTGTAATTTCAAGACCCCCAGGGAACACTCCACAACTAATCTAAAGCAGTGAATTATAGAAAGTAAGCCGGGTATGACAGTTCATGCTTTGATCTGAGCACCTGGGAGACAGAGGCAGGTGGATCTCTGTGAGTCCAGCCTAGTTTACAGAGCAAGTTCTAGGCTAGCCAGGGCTAAATAGTCAGACCTTGTCTCAACAACAACACCCTAGTAAGTTTAGGTGCAGGGGAATGGCTCACTAGGTAAGAGAGCTTGTTGGGTAGATGTGAGGCCAGAGTTTGAATCCTTGTAACAGCTAGACATGGCTACGAGTGCCCAGTATAGAGAGTAGAGATGGCAGGTCCCAGAGCTCCCTGGCCAGCAAGCCTAGCCGAAAGGGTAAACGTCAGGTTCAGTGACAGACCTGGTCGGTTTCCCTGGTCAGTTTCCAGGCCAGAAGGCAGAGAGTAATGGAGGGAAATACTCAGTGTCCTGCTGTGGCCTCCACCGAGCAGGGCTGCACGTTCATCCATATGCATCACGTGCACACAACATGATAATGCACACAACGTAAGTTTAAAGCTGAGATTCACATCCATCTGTTAAGTTTTCCTCCCACAGAGTTTGCTTGGCTGAGATGCTGGCTGAGCTCTAAGAATGCTAACTGTAGATAAATAAATAAATGTAAGTAATTATGTAAGTAAAGATTGCTTGCAGCTTGGCTTAAAACTTTTTTTTGTTTTTTAAACATTACAGTCCGGCAGAACGTTCTGGAGAAAGAGAATCATGAGTTAGTGTGGCAAGGAAAAGGAACATTTAAGTTGACTGTCCAGTTGCCCCCAGACCCGGTGGAAGCCTCAGTCTCTAAGGAGACAAGGAAGGCACCTGCAGAAGAGGTAAGGAAACCTAAGATGGACTCAAAAGGACACAGGGTGGCACCTTGGAAGGTATGTGGGGATCTCAGTGATGAAAATATGGTAAAGATGTCCTGGGTGAGGTGGCTCATGCCTTAAATCCCAGCTCTAGGGAGGTAGAGGTAGACAGAGTTCAAGACTAGCCTGGTCTACAAAGTAAGTCCAGGCCAGTCAAGGCTATATAGTGAGACTGTCTCAAAAAAAAAAGGAAAGAAAGAAAAAAGAAAGAAAGAAAAAAGAAAGAAAAGAAAGAAAGAGAGAAATGGTAGACCAAGACCTAAGTCACAGTAGTGTGAAAACAGCAGCTTAGAGCTGTGTCGGGAGGGACATAAACAATGAAGAATCAGTTACTTTTTGACACTTTTGGAAGAGTCAAGATGGGGGGGTGCAACAGTAATGAATTCGGGGTGTCTAAGTTTGTATCTATTTGTCTTGGCTTCTTTATAACCAGAAGCCTGTGGTCTTGAGAGGACAGCAGTGCACTGTGTACTGTTCCTCAGTTGTGAGGGAGATTGCCAGGAACCTCTGTGAAGCACATGCACTGTGCTCATAAGGTAATCACGAAATAAGTACTATGTGTCGGGAAAGCATGGGCTGAGTTGCCTCACCTTTTGCATGGGCCGGGGACTCTCGAGTATGTGTCTCATTTCATCATTCATTGTTGTGACCAGCAGGAAGACACACTGTGACATGTAGCCTCGGATGTATTCAGTAGCTCATTACCCAAGTATATCAATATCATTCCATTTAGCTTATGTCTCCAGTCTGGCCCAAGGGATGTCTTATTTATATAAAGAAGTGATTTGTGTATTAATGCATTCTTATTTGGGTTTTAGGAGTCCAAGACAAGGGAAGATGCTGTGAAACCAGGTAAAGTCTCAGCTAGGGCGGGCAGTTTTGTATTCATTAAACATGTTGCTTGGGAGATTTTCCCTCTGGAGTCACACCACACAGGATCTCCTTGGCTTGGAGCTGCCTTGAGTTGCATCATCCAGGTCTCAGCCAGATGTGTATGAAGCGCTCGCTCCCTGAGGGAGTCCCTTCAGCTCTTAGAGCTCCCATCGGAAGAACAGGACCAGTTCTTTCTGGTGCTGTGAGATGTCTACAGATGAGGAGAGGGGAAGGAGACCTGGGAGGTGGTGATGGATGCTTGTGCTTGGGTGGCAAAGAACAGCAAGGACAGGAGTGTAGTGGATGCTGTGTGGCTCTCTGGGTACCAGTGCTCTGTGAACATCAGGTGTGTCTTCAATAGACCCCAGCTCCCCAGCTCTTCCTTCCTCACCTGCTGCAGGGAACAGCCAGCACTGGGGCTGGGGTGGGGTCTCCTGCTTCACTAGTGGTAGGCAGAACCCATGTCCTGCCCCAGACTTTAATGAAGGAATGACTAATATCTGTATAAAGGGTAACAAATGAAGAACCAGGCCAGGTGAGATAAGCAAGAACATCAAAGATACATACTCTCAAACCTTAGGGAAAGGAATTCTTTCTTTCCCTCCATCACTCTTTGCCTTCTGGCCTGGAGACTGGTCTCTCACTGAACCTGGACCCTTTTGGCTAGGCTTGTTGGCCAGGGAGCTCTTGGCATCTGTCCATCTCTGCCCTCTATACTAGGCACACATAGCCATTCTCAGCTATTACAAGGGTGCTGGAGGTTCAAACTCTGGGCCTGGTGTTTAGGCAACAAGCTATCTTACCCAATCAGTCATTTCTCATGAATAATGTTACAGTGTTAATCTTTTTTTTTTTTTTTTTTTTTTTTTTTTTTTTTAAAGTATTTGTTTATTTGATTGAGTACATTGTTGCTAATTTCACACACACCAGAAGAGGGACTCAGATCCCATTGCAGATGGTTGTGAGCCACCATGTGGTTGCTGGGAATTGAACTCAGGACCTCTGGAAGAGCAGCCAGTGCTCTTAACCACTGAGCCAACTCTCCAGCCCTACAGTGTTAATCTTTAAACTGTTATTTTGCTTAGCATGAGTGTGTGCACAGTCTCAGATATCCTTGCTTCCCTAGAGTGAGCCAAAGAGTCCCGCTCTAATTCAGTGAACATCTGATGAGCCTCAGCTGCACACCACAAAAAAAACGAGGAAAGCTATACCCCGCTTTGAGAAGTTCTGTCCTATAATTAGAGTTTAGTACTTGTGAGCATATATGAGGGATGATATCTAGTCCCCAGAAAGACAAAGCAGAAAAAAGTAATAAAGTCAAATTAATGATAACAAGGAACAACGCTATGTTTTAGTTTTTGTTGTTTTGGGTTTTTTTTGTCTTTTTTATACAAAAACAATGTGTATTTATTTAATATACATTGTAAGTGTTCAAGAAGACTTAATTTAAAAAAAAACAACAACAACAAAACCCCAGCACTGCTTAGAAATCAAGGAGAAAGGACAATCTAAGAAAAGAGACAACAAAAAGATGGGCAGAGAGGCGGACAGCGAGTGTCAGGGCTCTTGGCTGGAGACCTGCTTTGTTTTTTTGTTTTGTTTTGTTTTTCGAGACAGGGTTTCTCTGTGTAGCCCTGGCTGTCCTGGAACTCACTCAGTAGACCAGGCTGGCCTCGAACTCAGAAATCCACCTGCCTCTGCCTCCCAAGTGCTGGGATTAAAGGCGTGCACCACCACTGCCTGGCCGGACCTGCTTTGAATAGGTTTCTTGGAGGTACTTCTTAAAGACTATGGGGTTTTTCCAGAGTTTCGCAGCATGTGTGTTCAAAGGGCTATCAATGTTGGGTTCTCCTAGCAGGCTCTGGATAGAAAGCAAGATGGTCCTGACATCATATAGTGCAGACCACTTATCCTTGAGGATGTCCAGGCAGATGTTGCCCTGGGTGTCCACGTTGGGGTGGTAGCAGGGTGTGAGGAACGTCACTGTGGGTGTGCTGTAAGAGTAACCACTGGGGAACTCTAGGGAGAGTTTATACCTTAGGTCTTCATATACGGTGCCGACTGCTCCGTGGATGGTCCCTATCCATTTGAACTGGTTGCCTGAGAAATTCCTTTGTCATCAGACATCACGAAGGTCATCCACTCCTGCTGTTGCCTCTTGCCTACAGGGCCCCGGGCGGCGCCCCCCCCCCCCCCAGGGCTCGGTTCCTTTTTGAAAGGCAGCAACGCTGGTAGCAGCTGGGGCGCGGTTTTGAGAGGCCATCCCAGAGGTGCTGGCACAGAGACAGGAGTATGAGTGTGGAGACGAAAGGGCAACTGTTTTTGTTTTTTTGAGACAAGAGTTTCTCTGTGTAGCCCTGGTTGTCAAGGAACTCTGTAGACCAGGCTGGCTTCCAACACACCGAGATCTACCTGCTTCTGCCTCACGAGTGCTGGTATTAAAAGTGTGCACCACTGCACCCGGTGCTACATTTTAGTTTTTAATTCACCAAAGCAAAACCTTCATTATGTAACATTTCCTTTTATTTGAGTTATCCAAGAGGTGGGGAAAATTGGAGATGTGAGACGTGTCTTAGGATAATTTACCTAGAGTGAGCCAAAGAGTGGTGCTTTAATTCAGTGAACATCCGACGAGTCTCAGCTGTGTATTACCTTACGCCTTTCATTGTCATTTCCAATTTTTTCAGGTGATTTGGATACAACACATTCTCCCAGCACCACTGGGAAGATGTCCCATCTTTCGGAAGATGTCCCGAAAGAGTGTGAAAATACTTCCTCCATGGTGGCATTTGAAAACCTGCCCGAGAAAGTATCAGAGATGGTGCTGACCTTCCTGGTGGAGAATATAAGTGGCCTCTCCAGTGATGACTTTAAGGTGGAAGTGATCCGAGATTTTGCTGTTGCTGTGGTTACCTTTCAGAAACCTATAGGTGAGCTCCAGGGGCCACTGTGATCCCAGGCTTCTGTGCCCCACACCCCAGCATCTGAGACATCTGTGAAAGTTTGGTTCTTTGCTCTAGTGAGTAACAGGTCTCTAAGTCAATACAGATGCTTTTCCCCTCAAATTTTTGAAAGAGAAACAAATTAATTTTGAGATCAAGTTTGAGTATATTTAATAGGCTGCCCTTTATTGTATGCTTGTTTAAGTCGGGCTCTGGAGGCAGGGGTGTGGGGAGAAATAGAAAGTCTAAATGAACAAGCTTGAACTTGTCCCCGGGAAGAGTGAAGATTGACCTGTCTCTTTAAGTGATGCCGCACTTACTGGGAGGCCACCAAACTTACCCTTAGTACTTGCTGTAAGTCAGGCACCTGCTAATCTCTGCATGTGTTAATTTATTCATTCCTTTCAATAACCTTATGACAGGGGCTCAATGGTGCTGAGAGACAGAGGAACTGGATTTGAGCCCAGGCAGTTCACCTCCTCCCCCCTTTCTCTTACTACTTTACCGTACTTCTCCCTGGTAGAACCCTTTCACGGTCATACATGCAGATTTGAGGGAACCCGGAAGATGAATGCCCTGGCCAGCAAGATGGCAGAACAGGCAAAGGCACTTACTGCCAAGCCTGACAGCCAGAGTCTGATCCCTGGGACTCATACAAGTTGTCATCCAGCCTCCAAATACACGTACACATGCGCACTTCTGTGCACACACACAGACTAAACAAGATCATTGTCACAAGCAAGTACCATCTCCACCTAGAACAGGGCAGATTCCAAACCCATGGCCATGGCAGTGAGATGTCAGTCAAGCTCACAGGAGACGTGGTCAGGATTCTAGCCCTGTCACTTAACCATGAAGTGTGTATGAAGCTCACCAAGTTATTATCTTCTCTGTTCCTTATCCACTCATGCATAAAAAGGGATGACCCTTATCTAAACTCCTGTGAAGATTAAATGAGATGATACTTAACATAGTACCCGAGACATGGTAAGGATTCGATAAAGGGGACTGTTAGTATTTAAAAACGTAAAGATTTGTTTATGTGTATGCTTTGCTAGCATGCATGCAGTGCCGGCAGAGGCCAGTAGAGGGCATCGGGTTCCCTGGAACTGGAGTTAGATAGGGTTGTGAGCTTCCAGGTGGATGTTGGGATCTGAATCACTTCACAGTCCTCTGCAAAGCCGCTGAGTGCTGTTAACCTCTGAACCTTCTCTCCAGCCCCATAAAGGGAAATGTAAAATTCAGTGACCTAGCTTCTGTTCATTGAGCAACAGTCTTGAAATCACACTGTGTTAGCTCTCTGCACTGTAACAAATAACCTGAGTCGGTCAGCCTATAAAAAGCAAGGTTTATTCTAGCTCACAGTTTTGAGTGGCTTCAGTCCTTGATCAGTTAACCCTGTTGCTCTGGGGCTTCTGGTGAGGAAGTAGACATAGTGACAGCATGTGGAAGACTATTTATCTCAGTGACTAGGGGAGACAGAAGGAACAGGAGGCCAGGGTCACTCAATGAAGGGAGCATTTTCTACAGGCCTCACTTGTTAGGTGAGCCACCACTTCTCAATAGCATCATGTTGAGGGCTAATCCTGTTAACACATGAGCCTCTAGGACAGTTTAGATCCAAACTACAGCTATCATTATGGGCCATGTACCAGTTTAGGAGCTGGGGCACAATGATAAATTAATCATAGTTCCCTTTCTGGAGGAACTCAGCTGCCTCAGGAAGGAGGCATGTATGTAAATGAATAAAGAAGATGAAAGAGAAGTCATCTCAGCTGGTGGAACCTGTCGGGGGTTGGAGACAATGACGTGCATTGCTGGGCTCATCTGAGTGTGCGCTCCGGCAGTGTTGCCTGACCATGTCCAAACTACACCAAGCACATTCATGCTGCCTCTGTTCCCTCCCTTCATCCACTCACTGGGCAACCATCCTTTAGAGGGTGACCCTCCTTCAAACTAGAGACCACATATACTCCGAGTCTGAGTCTTAGCTTTATCCATTGCTTACTGGATCTCCAGAAGGCAATTCATTTGTGTTCAATCATTGGGAAATGATATGCAAGCAAGGACGTGTATTTGTTTATTCCCAGATCTCAGCACAATAATTGTCACATCGTAGGACCGCCAGCCACTGTGTTAATTAAGAGAACTAGTTGGGCTGAATCCTAAAGGATAAACAGGACCAAATGAGAAAACGGAGAAGGCTGTAGACATAGCTATGGTGGCGTGATTTGATCCTCAGCGTCACAATGAAACAAAGATGTCTTCCATGTTGGAGAAGGGCAGTGCAGACACAGGAAGTTGTATGTACAAGGACAGAAGAGGAGGATTTCAAAAACATGACTAGTTTTTTGTTTGTTTGTTTGTTTGTTTTGTGGCAACAAGACAAAATTGAAAGAGTTACTTGGATATGACTTTGGCTTCGGTAGCCTGGCTGTGGGTATGGGCTCCAGGAGAAAATGGGGAAAGGGCCGGGGTCTCACCGGGGAGAGGGGTGAGGTCACAAGGAAAGCACTCAGGAGGGTTGGCTGTGGGTAAAGGGCGGCTCAGTGGCAAAAAATACAGCAGTTGGTAGTCCTCCTCAGTTGTAGCCATTTCTTCAATACTGTATAGAGATGTCATCGGAATTTTCTCATTTTCTATTTGTTTTGTAGATACCAAAAAATTTATTATTGATTGTATTGGCCACCGCTCAAATCAACAACTCCAGCTTGCCCCAAGACTTCTGGAAACGACAAATGTCGTCAGGGTAGAAAACCTGCCTCCTGGGGTGGATGATTACCAGCTGCAACTCTTCTTCGAAAATCCTTTCAACGGGGGCGGAAGGGTTGCCCGAGTTGAGTGTTTCCCTGAAGAGAGTTCGGCGCTGGTTGAGTTTTGTGACAGCAAAGGTCTGTGTCTCAGCCGGCCACCCCGGGCACAGCCCGTATGGTTAGCCATTGCGGTCAGCCGGCCACCCCGGGCACAGCCCGTATGGTTAGCCATTGCGGCAGTTACTTGAACCCTCGTGAGTTTGACTTCTCTGTCAGAAATAGCATCAATCTGTCATTGACCTGGATTTGGTGCAGAATGAGGCAGCAAGGCAGGCTCTCGTGGAGCGACACTAGCTGATGGGAGACAAAGTAGAACCTCATGAATCCAGGACTGAAAGAGTTGCCCGTCTCAGAACTTATGATAGGTTATATCACAAAGAGATAGATGTGTGTTTTAGTTCCCCGCATTGATTCTCAAATAGATTTCAACAAGTTTCGGTAAAGATACATATATATAGTTTTACAGAGCATTTATATTTCTCCCTTCTTCTATCACTGTGCCAAGGCAGGGCTTATGGGGACATTTTCTCATAACCTCAGGAGGGAGACTGAAAGCCATATTGATGATGAGGTCTTCAGTGGTCTCCAGTCAGACAGACGTGAGTTCAAATCCTGATTGGTGTTCACTGGCTTTTGACCTTTAACCCTCCAACCTTCAGTTTTCTCATCTGTAGTGATGGCACATTAGGAGTTACCTCAGAGGAGTGCAGTGAGAATTAAACTGAATAATCCCTGTGTACTGCTTGGCCAGGGGTGGTGCCGAGTCCGTGTTAAAGGTCACTCGGGCTGTTCCAGGGTTCTACCTCTCAGGAGCCACTGTGGGAGGCTGGGCCTACATCTTTGAGCCTCTGAAGGTCCCATTCTTTCCCTCTGGCCTGATACCTGCCCCAGGATCTAGTCATACACAAACAAGGGCATGATATTTTAGCATCATTCTACCATGAGTGCTTTTTGAATCCAAGTTGTTGCTGGATTGACTCCAACTTCCAAGCTCCTACTACTTACACTTACCCAGCAAGTATAAAAATGTGGGACGTGAGGAGAGTCCTACAGGATGAGAGAGGATGAATGATAGTGTTCACACAGGGGCAGGTTGAGGTAGCTATCCTGGTACACATGGTGGCTAGGATATAATAGTGGAGAAGGCCTTACTACGTTGTGACCTCTGGGGCTGGTCTCTCCAGTGACTGTGAGGATGATTTTGATGTGGTTATAGGGGTCTGGGTCGGCTCATGCTGGCAGTTAGCTCAGATACCTCATTCTATGGAACCCCGACGTTTCCCAGCCTCAGCTTTCTCAGCTGTAGCTAAGGCTGTAATAGAATCTCTACCTGAGATGACCACTGTCAGGATTAGAGGCATTAAATCCATGTTCAAGGCCTGGGAAAGTGAATCAGAGTACAGCTACAATCATGCTCCTTCTGTGAAGATATTAATAAATTTAAGTTAAGTATAAAAGTTAAATTCTGGGGTTACACAGAAAGGGACAGATGCCACAATGTTTCACTCTAAGGATTAAAATGTTCTTTATGTTGGTACAAATATCAGCCAAGCACTTGTGTCCAAGTTTGTATCTGTTTCTTATTGTATCATATATATCAGCGACATCAGGAAAACAATAGAATCTAACATGATTTCAGTATAGAGGATATAAAGTAATTATTGCATTAAATAAAGTCTGCCTTGTGAAGTTAGTGCATATCAGTTTATATCTGAGCTTGTGGGAGAATGCTACCTTTAAGTTCTTTAAACACCAGAGACTTTTGTCTTCTAGAAAAGTTTATTTTGTGTTCTTTTGAAATGTGTGACATTGAGATTATTGCTATATATTTATTTGTTTGTTTTGCTTTTAAAGTGTTAGACACCATTATGGCCAAGAAACACAGTTTCAACAAGATGCCGCTGTCCGTCTTCCCCTATTATCCCTCTCTGGGCACAGCCTTGTATGGTGAGGAGAAGCCTCTGGTCAAGCTTCCAGCATCTTTCCAGGAGTCTCTGGATCTTCCTTTGTGGAAGTTCTTTCAGAAAAATAATCATCTGATTGAGGAGATAAATGGTGAGATGAGGCGCTGTCACTGTGAGATGACGTGGTCTGAAAGCAACGGTAAACTGACCTTCAGACCCGCTGCCACCTTAGTCAATCATAGACCAAGCATCAAGACCTGGCAGAGAGATGTATCTGCAGCGCTCTCTGGGATCAAGTCTAAATATGAAGTGAAGTTGTTTGAAGTGTGCTCCCCAGTATGGGACATCATAAAGCATGAATTAGAGTTAGGAGATGACAGAGTTTTGATTGAGTTTGAAAAGGAGAGTCTAAACGTAGCAGGAAAATCAGAAGACGTCCAAGGCATTAGCCAGCAAATCAGGGAACTAATAGAGAGAACAACTGAAAAGCTCAGAAGGGAAGAGCAGAGTCTGACGGAGAAAGTGGCCATTTCCCCAGGAAAGCATTTTCTTTTGCACCACAGTGGCTTCCTGAAGGATCTGAAGACAGAGTACCCAGACATGGAGATCTCTTACAACGCCACGGATCAGTTCCTGTGCTTTAAGGGTTTTGGGGCAGATGTGTACAAAGTAAAGTGTGACATCCAAGAAAAGGTGTTTTCCATGGATCAGAAAGATGTCCAGGTTTCTTCTGAAGTCTTCGAGTTTCTGCAGCAAACAGACAGTCAGAGACTCTCCAAGACTCTGTTCGAGGCACAGAACATTCTTGCCACATACGAGCTGAAAGATACAGGTCTTTTCTTAATTGGAAGTTCTTCCAAAGATCTGGCAGAAGCTGAGGAAAAAATGCTCAGTGGCTTAAGTCATAAGCACATTGTAGTTGAGGACAAGGAAGTTCTGAGAAGTAATATGTGGAAGAAGAAAATTTTCCCTCTGCAAAAGAGACACAGTTCCTATGCAACCATTGTGATCAAGAATGAATTGACTTCAGGAACCCTGGCTGAGGTCATTGTTGCAGGCTGTGTGAAAGAAGTCAATGAAATCCACAGCCAGCTTTTTTGGTTTTTGGAAAACAACATGAAAGTTGAAAGAGTGGTTAAAGTCGAACCATCCTTGATTATTGACTATTTAAGGACAGACAAGAGGCTGTTGTCAAAGGTAAAGAAGGCAAGTGTGCTTGTGAATTTTAGGCCTAACGACATTTTGCTAACTGGCTCCAAGAGCAAAGTTCTAGAGTGCATGGATCTAGTCAAGGAAATCCAGGATTCAATCTGTGTCAAAAGATTCCAGACTGACAAAGCTGGTGCCAGGCACTTTTTCCAGGATAAAGAATCGTATTACAAAATGGAGATCAGACGCCTGTATGGGTGCATCATTGAACTGGAGGAGGATAAAGAGGAGGAGAGTGAAGAGGAGGAGGGTGAAGACGAGGAGGAAGACAACATTAAGGGGCAGAAGTGCCACTTACAGGGGAACATAGCCCCCGGGGTCAAACTGATGGTCCTCGAGGGAGATCTGAGTCGGTTTTCTGCCGACGTGGTGGTGAATGCCGCGAATGAGAACCTGAAACACATCAACGGTCTCGCCCTGTCTCTCTCAAAGGCAGCTGGCCCCAAACTCCAAGATGCATGTGACCAGATAGTAAAGGAGGACGGCATGGTCCTACCTGGCAATGCTGTTATCACAGAAGCAGGCAAGCTTCCTTGTCATTATGTCATCCATGCGGTAGGGCCTCGATGGAAGGGAGATAAGGTCCTGGAGTGTGTGAGCCTGCTGAAGAAAGTTGTGAAACAGAGTCTCACTCTAGCTGAAAAGTACAAGTGCCAGTCCATAGCCATACCAGCGATCAGCTCTGGAATCTTTGACTTTCCCTTAGACCAGTGTGTGGCAACCATTGTTTCAGCCATCAAGGACAACTTCCAGTTCAAGCAAGACAGACACACCTTGAAAAAGATTTACCTGGTGGGCCTATCTGCAAAGGTGGCCGGGGCCTTTGCTGAAGCTGTCAAGGCTACATGTAAAGACACCCTTTCCCACACAGCTTCCCCATCCAATTTAAAAGCATTAGTGCCACTTGGGAAAATGCCCCAGAAACAGGGCAGTCTGCTGGTGTCACCAGAAGGCCTGAGAATCCGCCTGATAGAAGGAGGCTTGCAGAATGCTAAGGTAAGTGTCCCTGTTCACCACCGATGTGCTGTGATGTCACGGGGTCTGTACCTGCTTTCTTGAGGGCCAATGAAGACAGGGTGGAGGGAAGAACAGGAAAATTTTATGTTGTTCTACTCAGCCTTCAAATACCTTTCCATTGTAATAAACGTCGGACGACATCCTTTTTGCTTCTCAGACAGCTCTGAGCACTGTGTGGTTACTGTTCTACTTTTAAAGATGAAGGCTTGGCTATGGCTCAGTTGACAGAATGCTGGCCTAGGAGGCACGAGGTCCTGGGTTCAGTCCCCCAGCTCTGCATAAACAAGGTGTGGTGGCACACGTCTGTAAAAGCAGTGTTAGGGGGGTGGAGGCAGGAGGATCAGAATTCAAATTCAAGGTCATCCTTGGCTGTGTAGTGAACTTGAAGCCAGCTTGGACTATGTAAGACCTTGTTTGAAAAAAAGAAAAGAAACAACTCCAGAAATAAAGAAAAGCATCGGAATATAGAGAAAAGCTGTTAAAGATTTATTTCTGTTCCCTTTTACATGTATGTGCGTGTGTGTGTGACCTTGTGAGTGAATGTCACATGTGTCACAGACGCTAGTCAGATCCTTTGGAGATGGAGTTACAGGTGGTTGTGGGCTGTCTGAGGTGGGTGCTAGGAACTGAATTTCGGTTTTCTGGGAGAACAGCAAGTGTTTTTAACTGCTGGGCCGTCTTTCCAGCTTTACAGCAACATACTTAGCCGATCCTCGACAGCTCTGTCTAAAGACCAAGATCAAAGTCCTAAATCAGCACCACTTGGTCTGGCTTTTACCTACTCCCTTCAAACAACAAACAGTTGGGGATATACTGGCTACAATAATAGATGAAATGGACCAGATGTTGTAAGCCTGTTTTGCTTTGAGTTGCTATACAAGAGAAAGTATCTCTAACCATCCATCAGGAACAGTCCCTGTTCATCAACAACGTGTCATCAACAATAACACAATTGAAACTCTTTTTTTTTTTTTTTTTTTTTTTAAATTTTTTTTTTATTTGTTTATTACATGTAAGTAAACTGTAGCTATTTTCACACACCCCACAACAGGGCATCAGATATCATTACAGATGGTTGTGAGCCACCATGTGGTTGCTGGGATTTGAACTCATGACCTCTGGAAGAGCAGTCAGTGCTCTTAACCTCTGAGCCATCTCACCAGCCCCCCACAATTGAAACTCTTAACCTGAAATAGAGTTATGTTGAAAAAAGCTAAAAATCACTTAACAGCCACATAATTAACCATCCTTCTTTATCTTCCTTCCTTCCTTCCTTCCTTCCCTCCCTCCCTCCCTCCCTCCCTCCCTCCCTCCTTCTCTTTTCTTTCTTTCTTTCTTTCTTTCTTTCTTTCTTTCTTTCTTTCTTTCTTTCTTTCTTTCTTTCTTTCTTTCTCTCCTGAGACAGGGTTTCCCTGTGTAGCCCTGGCTGTCCTGGAACTCTCTCTGTAGTCCAGGCTGGCCTTGAATTCACAGAGATCTGCCTGCCTCTGCCTTCCCAGTGCTGGGATTAAACTTATGGACCACCACACCTGGCTGTATTCTACAGATTTACCTGCTCTTGAAGTTTCATAGAAATGCAATAATATGTTTGTGATATTCTGTGACCAGTTTTTCTCACTGAGAGGAATGCTTTCTGGGGTCATCTGTGTTGTAGCATATATCAGTAATTTCATTCCTGTTAGTGGTTGAATAATGTCTTGTTAGATGAACATACATTTGGCTTTCCTACCCATTAGCTAATGGACGTTTGAATTGTTTCCACTCTAACTTCTATGAGTTTTGTTACTCTGAGCATTTATTTAAAGTGACTCAAATGACATCATGGTTGATGAATGCCTTTATGAAGAACTTGAAAAGAATCTCTGGTTTTGTCTTTAAGACCCATGCCATTGTGAACTCTATTTCCCCGGATCTTATACTCAACAAAGGACCCCTTTCTCAGGCCCTCTTGGAAAAGGCTGGGCCAGAACTTCAGGAGGAATTGACCGAGGCAGGACAAGGGGTGTCTGTCAATGTGGGCACAATTCTCCAAACCAGTGGCTGTAATCTCAACAGCCGTCACATCTTCCATGTGGTGACTCCACAATGGAAAAGCAACAACAGTGCATGGTCACTAAAGGTAGGACTTTGCATTTTCTGGGAACGGGGTAGCTCTTTGAACTCTTCTTCCTTTAGCATACTATAGTTAGCCCCTGTCTGCTTCTTTTCTGTAACAACATCATGAGTTTGGCAGGCTCCATATCCTAGCCATTTCTTTTTGGTTGTAGATTACTTCTTGTAGGTCATAGTTAATAGTGGATGTTGGCTATTGTGCTCAGTATTATTGAGGGTCAGGGAAGGGTCAGGGGAGTGTGCCACTCTGGTGAGAAAAGTAAGGTGAGGTTTGGTGCTGGGTGCAGACAGCAGCCGTCCCCGCTTTGGGTTGTGGTGATGTGATGCTACACTCTTGAGTGGGTGTTTCACATTCTCTTTCCTGAGTTTCCCTCTTCAAACTGCTGTTAACTTTCACTGAAAGCATAAAGGAGTGGACAGTGCTCCCTGTAAAAACTTCCCAGTGCTTATTTATTTATTTTTCTATAGGGTCTCCCATTTCTAAACAAGCCATTTAAGCAAGTGCTTTGTTTTTTTTTTCAGATCATGAAAAACATCATCCGTGACTGTCTGAGGACCACCGAGGACCTGTCTCTACAATCGATCGCATTTCCAGCAATAGGAACGGGAAATTTGGGGTTTCCTAAACCTGAATTTGCCAAATTAATAATTTCAGAAGTGCTCAAATTTAGTAGCAGGAACCAACTGAAAACTTTACAAGAGGTTCAGTTTCTGTTGCACCCGAAGGACCATGAAAACATTCAGGTACAAACTCGGCCTGCTTCTGGTCACTTTGGGGATGGCAGTTTGAGACTTGTGTTCTTCTAACTCTTCTTGGTCTGGTAGGATGTTTATTACCTCTGTTTTTCATCACAGGGGTGTGTGAGAATAGCATTGACTGGTTATATGTAACATGACACATTTCAAGAAAAATTAGAGACAAAAAAAAATACTTCTTCAGGAAAGTTTCAAAGACGCATAGAAGTACACAAACCAGTCTAATGAACTTCTGTGTATCTGTTTTTTGGACTCAACTGCTATTTCTCTATGGAGAGCTGTTTAATCTTTTCCTCCACTTATTTCCGTTTCTTTCATGTGACATTGAAACAAATCCCCGACACACAATTCCGTCTCTGAACAATTCGCCACTTAATTTTGAACATAACTTTATCACTAAAACATCTTGAAGCGGCAGCCATTACTTGGATTTGATCAGTTATGGAGTTGAAGTGTGAGTTTAAGACTGTCTCATGAATGTCTCTCTGCCTTTGCCTTTTTATGTCCAAGTCAGAATTAGATAAGGAAGGCTCATACACTGTAATACTCGTTATGACCTTTTCAACCTGAAGGCTTGCCTCTCACATGGACCTAGAAATGTTAATATGTAATATAAAGGCACAGTTGTAGTGTTATCAATCTGAAAATTCTGGGATGGGATGCAGGTGAACCCAGCTCCCCTTTCTGGACATGTATTTACTGGTGAGTGGAGGACAGGGCTAGAACACAGCAGCATGTCCCGGTGTGAGTGGGATGCTTGGACCAGAAATAACCAGAACCATCGTCAGTCACAGCATGGCAGCCCTTGTTTTACCAAACATCAGCTCTAGTGACTTCTGCTCTCCATCTTTAAAATCTTGTAAAGTATCTGACATTAATGTTTGAAAAGTTCCATAATGGTACACTGAAGGTCTGCAGATGCCTGTGGATTGGGCTATTGGAATTTTAGGTCACACTTTATTATTATCTGGGTCTAGACATTACTTACAAATTCACAAGAAGCAAGCACATGGAGCCTCCATTCTAACCAGGTAGCCAAACCTCCTGAGTCCTTTAGCTTGGACTGTACAAAGGTAGTGGGGGTTCTTATTTGTTCAGGCTTTGTTTTTGAGACAGAATCTTGCTATGTAGCCCAGACTGTTCACATGCATGGCAATCCTCCTGCATCCACCTGCTCAGCTGGTAAGAATTTCTAATACTTCTTCATGGCATACATTGTGTAAGGTGATGGAGGCATTGGACACTGTGCAGAACATACTTTTCCCTCTAGAAATCAGAATTACTTCAGAAGTTTAGATTTATATACACAAAGTCATACTATGTGGGTAGTGCTGAGTCCTGGAGCATAGGCTGGAGCCACCCAGGCTTTATTTGCGAAACTCTGGTTTCTGGTTGGCCAGTTGGTCTGTCTCCTCTGTGTCTCCGCCTCCGCCTCCGCCTCCGCCTCCGCCTCCGCCTCCGCCTCCGCCTCCGCCTCCGCCTCCGCCTCCGCCTCCGCCTCCGCCTCCGCCTCCGCCTCC